CCCATTGGGAAAATTGTCGATTTTGTAAGATTGCTATAAAATAAAAACTAGCAGTCGGAGAGGTCTAAAAACACAGTGGCGATTTATTAAAGTCATAATATATCTAGTTTTTGAATATAAGTCGAATCAGAGCAACTTTGATTTTTAGCCAAAAAATCTTCCAATGGTTGGGAAAATTGTCGATTTTGTAAGATTGCTATAAAATAAAAACTAGCAATCGGAGGGGTCTAAAAATTCAGTGGCGATTTATTAAAGTCATAATATATCTAGTTTTTGAATATAAGTCGAATCAGAGCAACTTCGATTTTTAGCCGAAAAATCTTCCAATGGTCCCCCATTGGGAAAATTGTCGATTTTGTAAGATTGCTATAAAATAAAACTAGCAGTCGGAGGGTCTAAAAATTCAGTGGCGATTTATTAAAGTCATAATATATCTAGTTTTTGAATATAAGTCGAATCAGAGCAACTTCGATTTTTAGCCGAAAATCTTCCAATGGTCCCCCATTGGGAAAATTGTCGATTTTGTAAGATTGCTATAAAATAAAAACTAGCAGTCGGAGGGGTCTAAAAACTCAGTGGCGATTTATTAAAGTCATAATATATCTAGTTTTTGAATATAAGTCGAATCAGAGCAACTTTGATTTTTAGCCGAAAAATCTTCCAATGGTTGGGAAAATTGTCGATTTTGTAAGATTGCTATAAAATAAAAACTAGCAGTCGGAGGGTCTAAAAATTCAGTGGCGATTTTTAAAGTCATAATATATCTAGTTTTTGAATATAAGTCGAATCAGAGCAACTTCGATTTTTAGCCGAAAAATCTTCCAATGGTTGGGAAAATTGTCGATTTTGTAAGATTGCTATAAAATAAAAACTAGCAGTCGGAGGGTCTAAAAATGCAGTGGCGATTTATTAAAGTCATAATATATCTAGTTTTTGAATATAAGTCGAATCAGAGCAACTTCGATTTTTAGCCGAAAAATCTTCCAATGGTCCCCCATTGGGAAAATTGTCAATTTTGTAAGATTGCTATAAAATAAAAACTAGCAGTCGGAGGGGTCTAAAAATTCAGTGGCGATTTATTAAAGTCATAATATATCTTTTTTGATAAGTCAAATCACATAGCAACTTCGATTTTTAGCCGAAAAATCTTCCAAGGGCCCCCATTGGGAAAATTGTCGATTTGTAAGATTGCTATAAAATAAAAACTAGCAGTCAGAGGAGTCTAAAAATGCAGTGGCAATTTATTAAAGTCATAATATATCTAGTTTTTGAATATAAGTCGAATCAGAGCAACTTTGATTTTTAGCCGAAAAATCTTCCAATGGTTGGGAAAATTGTCGATTTTGTAAGATTGCTATAAAATAAAAACTAGCAGTCGGAGGGGTCTAAAAATGCAGTGGCGATTTATTAAAGTCATAATATATCTAGTTTTTGAATATAAGTCGAATCAGAGCAACTTCGATTTTTAGCCGAAAAATCTTCCAATGGTCCCCCATTGGGAAAATTATCGATTTTGTAAGATTGCTATAAAATAAAAACTAGTAGTCGAATAGATTTAAAATTCAGTGGCGATTTATTAGTCATAATAAATGTACTTTTTGAATATTAGTCGAATCAGAGCGTATCTTTATTATCTCCTCATTTAATAGTTATTTTGCTATCTAATCTATCATTAATAGAGTTACATTTGACAATTTCTTTGAATAGTTGCTGTGTATGAATGTTTTTTAAACATTACATTCACCCATTTTATGATCATGATGAGAACACTAAAACTTCCATAAAAAATAAAAAACTTTGAAGACTTTTTGTACAGTTTCAAAGCAAGAATTTTGTCCTTACCTGTGAATTATCTTCTTGTCTTTGCAAATGGTATTTAGAATTTAAATTACTTGGCCTTTTCACTGGATTTGCATGCTGTTGTGGTTTTGTATTAAATTGTTTTATATACCCTCTATCAGAATTATCGCCTGATCCTACATCAGGATGTTTTCCTAGTTATGACAGTGTGAGAAGTGAACTCTTTCATGATTTTTGTAAAGGAAATTTGTCTAATACACCCACGTCTATAAAGCTCGAAGAAGCCTAAACAAGAATCATATTATTATATAAATTATTACAAAAAAGACCGATACTTGATTTAAAAATACAACTACCTTATACAAAATAAATATCTAAGCAACTTGTAATTAATAACCTGAGGTAAGATTACACTCCTTTGACAATCTGTCACTGTCTCTACATTATTTTTACGAATTGACATTGATACACAAGTTCTAAAATAATTATTATTAAAATACATTCATATATTATAGTACAAACCCAGCATTTTTAGGCTCGAGAGAACATGAACTTTAGGATGCTTTCTTAAATTAATTGAAGTTTTTGACTTCTGATATTTTCGTCATATTATTATTATTCATTTTCATTATATAAATAAATATAATACATCATCATGCATACCTGGCAATCACTTGCAAGAAAGACGTGCAATTTAGTATTTATTAGTTGAAACAACTTGGCACGTGACCATACTAAATTTATTTATTAAAACATAACTATTGAGCAACAACACGCGTGTACAAACTTATTGTTGGGTATTCGCACATTCGTACGGCGATCAAATGCACGAACGAGCGTAGTTGAAATTGAGCACATATGAGTCCTCTATTATCAAAGCTTGACAATACCCAATGTCAAAACCGTGCAAAGCGCATTTGTTTGTCCCCACGGTAAGTAGTTTAGTTTAGACAGGGCCAGTCCTACCTTGAATGCGATGCATGCAAAAAATGCGGGCGATGGGTTTTTAAATTTAACTTCAAAACAACAATCTGATACATGGTATGGGAAAGTATAGATGAATACATACACTTCGGTCCTTTATATCAATTTTAGATATTTTAAATAATGAAAAGTTGAATTAAAATAATAATGTTATATTTAATAATAAGAGACTGCCATTTTTTGATCTCTATGATTTGCTCAATAGAATAAAACCAATAAAATCTCTAAACTAAATAAGTAAAATGTTTCAAAACAAAAAATATTAATATTGCACATGCGTTAAATTAAATGAAAATTTAATTCTTACAAGCAATAATATACATACTGAAGTTTTTGAATATCTGAAAAAGTTTGTATTGACAATAAGAATTTAAAATAAGTGCGACAATAATAGAAAGCACTATAATTTGATTATGAGCACCTGCAAATCGCTTTAATCTTCTAAATAAATTTAAAATCAATGTATTTTATGCTCATTTGGATTATACCTGTTTTCGTATACTAAATCCAGATTTATTAAAATTTTTTAAAAAATTACGTAAATGTTTATATAATTCTAATGATAAATTGTTTATAAAGGTCAAATAATGGGGGTGGGGGGGCGCTATAAAAAATTGGCATGCGGGCACTGAGTACCCCATGACCAGCCATGAGCTTAGATGTTTATCAACAAACAAAAGAGTTTTTTGATCATTGCTTAGTTTTAGTTTGGTGTCCATTAGAATATTGAAAAAATCAAAAAAAATTGTCATATTCTCCTCCCCTATTTCTACAAAAATAAAGAAGCATCTTAAACTTGTGGTGACAAAGCATTAAAATAACAGCAGTGCCAAAATTGGTTTGCAAAATTTCGTTCTGGTGGTTGTCCAGTTAAAGTTGATTAAAAAGGAATTGTCTACTTTGAACTGTTATTATCAACCAATAGATCAATTATATAATGACTACATTAAACAACTATCGAAATTAAACAATGCAGTTAAAAAAAAAACCTGTGTTGACAAAATGATGGGGTATTTATACCATTACTGTTATTACATACCTTTGGCCACTCGGCAAAAATTATTGGACGCTTGGTTGGGTTACCATATCCACCATATAGACTTGAATTTGTACCTTCTGATTATTTTTTGTTTCCATCTTTACAAAAGTCCTTAAACGGTAATGAGTTCAATGATTATGAGGTGTCAATTTGTATCGCATTCAGTTCTTGTCGATGATGCTGCTTGAAAGATTGCAAAAAGTCATTGATCAAAATGAACAATACATTGTCTAATTAAGTTTATATAGTTCCATAAAAAAATTCTTTGATTTTCTAACAGAACCTAATAGTTGTCAATCGTATTATAAATATGGGAGGAAACCATGTTTTTGATTGCATGCAGTCATTTGACTATGTTGACTGAATTTTGTGTATTAAACTATTTAATCGATTTTAATCAATAAATAAAGAAATCAAGTGAATTAAATAATTACAATGAATATATACCTGTTGGATTGTTTGAGTTCTGTGAACATCCTTAAGATTCACAATACGAAGAATAAAATGTACTTAAGACGCCTGCAATAATAAGAATAAAGTTGACAGCTGTATAAAAGCTATTACAATGTAAATAAAGTTGTGCGTATCTATTACTTGCAAAAATATTCCTTTGTACTACGTTTAACAACATGTCGCAACAATATCAACTATTTAATGATGAATATTATTGAAGTCATTTGTTGTTTGTTTGGCGGCTTTAAATTGAGGTTATATATTAAAGGCTAAAGGTTATATTATAAAGCTCTGACATCTTGTGTAACTTTTGCGATCTATAAATTTTTAGTTGTGTTCTGAGGTTTTTAAACCTTCGACACCAACCTGTTGCTTCTTCCCTAGAAACGAACCTATTGCTGTAACCGTTACTAAACCGTTAAACATCGATAAGGTTGCATAATTGGATATGACGTGTTGCCTTAAAACCGTTGACACAAACCTGCTGCTAAAAACGAACCTATTCCTGTAACCGTTACTAAACCGTTAAATATAGATAAGGTTAGATAGTTGGATAAGGTGTGTTGCCTCAAAACCGTTGACACAAACCTGCTGCAACTTTCCTAAAAACGAACCTATTGCTATATCCGTTATTATCCGTTATGATAATGATGTTAATTAGAGTACCTGATAGGTAAAAAATATATAAATGAAATAGTGAAAAATTCAAACCTTTGTCAATAAAATGAGAACAGTGAATTTTAACTGTTCAAAATATGAATATAAATTTTCTTATCTATGGTTTATTTAGAAAATAACTTTAGCTATAATACACAATGAAAAAATACTCATAGAATTAAACATAACTAGTTGGTATTGGTTTTTTGCCTTGAGGTAAGTTACATGAACTTCCCGATATGTGTAAATAATCGCTTTAATCGATAAAAAATAAATTAATTTATGAGTGATTAAAAGTATTCCGAGTGGATTTGTAACATATAATTGAAAACGAACGCACATGTTAAATAGGAGTATTTTCTAAAAGCGAATTTTCAAAAATCAACAATTTTTATAATGAAACCAGTTTCCATAGGACTTTAATGGTTTAGTACGTTCATTAAGACCAAGTACTTTATCGTCATACCAAGCAAATCGTCTAATTTTAATTTTAACAAACTCAAAAAAACTACTCATTTTCTCAAACTTTGATAATTTTTTTAAATTAAACTACTTGTCGTGAGGCTGTAATATTTCAGTAAGTTCTATAAGACCATGATATATATAGCTAAAAAAAGTTCCATAAAAATCGTCTTGATTTTTTTTACAACAGTTAATTACAAGAAAACGGCTCGGTAGATTTTCACCTAAAACTAATCAGTATCATTTCCAACTAATATCTTTCGAACAGTTTTTGAGCAAACGTCGATGGAAGGTCTAATTTTGACAAATGCCGAAAAAACGATACTAATTTTTGCAAACTTTGTCGAATTTTTAAAGTTAAACGAGTTGTCGTAAGGCCGTAATATTTTAGTATGATCTATAAGACTATGGTATCTACCGTAAAAAAAAAGAAAATCGTCGAAACAATTTTTTTAACACTTTATTACAAGAAAACGGCCCGGCCGATCTTTACCAAAAACTAATCAGCACGATTACCAACCAATATCTTTCGAACAGTTTTTGAATTTTCAAAACCGACTCAGAATTGCGGGCAAAAACTCGTGGACAAAATTTTTTTCACTTTTCTGCGGTTTACAAAGAAACGGCTTGGCTGATCGTCGTGCAAAATTGATAGACACTAGTCCTCATTGAGATACATCGAATAACTTTTAAATTTGTGAAATCAGCCCAGCCGTTTTTGAGAAAACGTCGATGTACGGCAAAAAAACTGATCACACACGCATAAACACACACCTGCTTCTTCCAAATTTGGTCTCATTCGATTCAGAATGGCTTGAAACGACGGGAAACCATAAAATTAGCGAATCGGATTTTTTGATGAAAACATAAACTTCTCCTTCGGGAAGTTATTTAAACAATAGTTTATTTAAGTTTCAATTGGATTTGAATATCTCTTACATTTTGCAGAGTGGATTATTACCACAAGCAGCATTTTCGTCATCTTGGATGAATGCAGAAATGCCAGTGAAGAAAAATATAATCATATTCATGGAACGATCGAAAAGACCACTAAAAATATATGCAGGGAAAATGCTAGAACTTAGTTTGCAAACATTTTCCACGGTGAGAGTAATTTTAGAATTAAACATTTAAGAAATCATATTTTGTATATATATATATATATATATATATATATACATTTTTAACTAATGTATTAATGAAAATGTGAATTGATTTAAGCAGATAATCAGGTCAAAACTCAATTTTTATTTCAGATAATCAATTCTTCATATAGATATTATGCAGTTCTGCAACACATGCAAAGTACAAAAAATATATAATTGTAATAAAAAGCTGCAATTAAATATAAAAGTGTCTAAAAGTTTGTTGTTAATAATTCATTAATTGAAGTTAGGATCAAATGGTAAACAAAATTGCAATAATCCTGTTAAGTTGACTTTTAATTGTCGCAAATATATAGCGAATTAGTATTTTGATGAATTGCCTGAATTTTTTAGTTTTATTCTCATATCAGATCTCCAAAACAATTCAGACCCACTTTAATACTACTTTGACAATTTGGGTGAAATGCCAAGGAAGCAGATAAAGGTCCTAAATAGTTTTTAGCTTTTTTTATTATGATAATTCGAAGGCGTGACCTGAAGTTTATATATTATCTGATAAATTATATTTAACTAATGGTCAAATGCTTGTCGAGTTATGTAAGATTGGTCTATAAAATATTTAATGCTTATTTTATAGACCAATCTTACATAACTCGACTTAATGTGCATTAATACATTAATAAGCACAGATACAACAAAATTGTTCTAAATAATATATTTTTTCGAAAATAAATTAACATAAGATTACAACTAATGGTAATCTGACACAGAGAGACTAGTATTTGATGAAACTTAAATACAAACAATTTGTTCATATATCCATATTGAGTACATATCTATCACAAAAACAGAGCGATATTGACACACTGATATAAGCTAAAATATATAACGCTCAGCATAATTTAAATATCATATATGATAGATTTATATCTTTGCTCATTATTTTTTCGAATTATACTTAAATTTAGTATATATAATTATATTTATATACATCTTGTTAAAAATGAAACTATACACATTCTATAATGTAATATATCAATATAGCTTCTATATATTTTAATTTATGACTATTTGTTCTTTGGCATAAAAGATACAAAATAGTTGAAATTTAGTAATTTGCATTGTTAACTTATAATAATATGTACATTGAGTCTGAATATTATTTTAATAATAATATTGGTACTCTTTTCGAAGGTTGGATGGGTACAAACCACATTGTTTGTAGTTCACACGTTATATATATATATATATATATATATATATATATTAGAGTATATATATATATTTATATATATATATATATATATATATATATATATATATATTAGAGTAGTCCTTAATATGGACGTTTTCGAATTTCCTTCTCTGAAAGTTTTAGCTCTTAATATTAACTTTTAGATAGAGCGCAATTCAATCAAAGTTTCGTATGGAATTAGCAAGGAAAAAATTTAAAAAATTTAAAAAATTTCTTTTAGATATGTCTTACAATTAGCGATAAGTGAATCAAAAGTGGCAATTCATGTCACGCTCTCTATTTAAAACCGAGTATGGTTTATAATCTTTATCAAAATATCAGTTAATTAGCATGCACTTTATTAACAACACGTCATCTTTGCAGTTTTTGGTGACATTACTTCAATAGGAGCAATTATTAGAAATTTGTACATAAATTTTATTTAATTTGAATCGAAATACTAATATTTATAAACAGGCGATTGAATTTAGGCAATAATAAAAACTCACACACGTAGATTAGTGAAAAAACCAGCGTTGGTTCGCTGCAATTTTCACCCTTTCCACTCGGATGCCACCACTCCGGCGGCGAATACGTACTAAATCTGCATTTAACGAGCGGAAAGGGTTAAACCGATAGAGACAACGATGCATTCCAAGGAAGCGCAACATGCTGCAGTGCGCCAGGGCGGTGCAACCGTTATCGAATATATATAATATATATAAATGCAAAATTAAATTGAATTAACCTAACGCGTTAAGTCAAATGCTTTTTAAGTTTCCATCAATACAATTCAGGAGCCCTAGGCATCATCATCATAGAGGCATTTTGCTTATCAAACTTATGGACTAGAACCAGATGTCTAACGGCTACAAACCCATGTGAAAATCTTCTTTGACATAATGGACAAACGTGCTGCTTCCTATCAGCACACTCGTATTTCATGTGTCTTCGGAGCGAGTGCTTGTTGAGGTACCTGCGACTGCAACCAGGCATAGGACAGGCGAAGTCGGATGATGTGGTCTGCTTCAGAAGATCACCGCCTGTTGCCAAAGACCATATATTTTTGAAGTCTGAGGAAACAGAAATATGTGTAAGAATACGTAGAAAAAGTATTGTAATTCAATCTTTTGAATTATCCTTATTGGATAATTGGTCAAAAATGCTAAGAACATTAGATGGATTTAAAATTATATGATAAGAGTGAATTGTAGATACTTTATGTATTGAAAATTAGTGAATAAATTATTTGATTAAAAATATCAGTTAAACTTACTGTCACGAATAAGACTGCGAACGAAAGCAAACCACGCGCATATTAAGGTGCGCCCTCACCTAACGACCAAACATAACAAGCAAGGATGTTCGTAACAGAACGAAGGGCAACGAGCATAGTTTGAAGCCACAACGAACACGAACGAACACAAACAAACATAGCGAGCAATGTTCCGCAACTTGTCGGTACATCTAAGAAAATTGTTCGTTCATGTTTGAACTCGTATGTGCAGTGTGGACTCTACCACAAATGTAGACAAACATTTTTCTTTTTTGATGTTAATATGTGCAGTCCTGCATTAGTTTATGTTGGATTATTATGTGATATTGCTATTATTGACAAATTTTATAAATTTTCAAATAACATTTCTCTTTCCCGCCACTTTAATAATTAAACTGACGTTTCACGAAACTTTCGCGAATAAAAAAGATTCAAGCTTTCACTGCTTTGCATTTGTTCAAGTTCATTTGGAATGATTCGCTTTCTTTCGTGTTCGTTTGTATTTTCTTGTTCGTCATGTTCATTCGTGCTCGTTCGTTAGGTGAAGCGCACCTTTATGCGTCGTGTTCGTTCGCGCTCGTTCGTTAGATAAGGACGCACCTTTAGGATCTAGTTTCTTTGCACTAAGAGTCCAATTATGCATTTAAGGTTTCTATATTTGATAGAGAAAAGGTAATTGAACAATTAACGGTGGTGTTTATTAAAACAAATACCCTTTTCACACAATGATTATTTTTTCCTATATGACCATTTGTACCATTAACACTCTCTTTTTTTCTAATACATAATACCCTTTTTGCATAATGAAAATTCTGTTTCCAGTGCAGGCATTTGTAATTATTTTCTTATTATTAATAAATATTATATGTATTATAAAAATTGTAAATTTTAGTTTTGATAATTTTGAAAAAACGCATTAAATATTAAAATAAAATTGAAAACTATGCTTGTTAAATTCTTGTTATTCTTTACATTTTTACTCCAAATTGCATTGTGTTTTTGGTGACGAAGTATTAATGCAACAAATTTATCATAATTGTTGAATCTTGATATTGCATTCCTATCATTTTATCCAGAATAAATTAGGAATAAAAAGTCATAAAGTCTAATTGAGATTTATCAATGCATGATTTCTTCTTTTATATATTTAATTTACACATTCGTCTGAATATATAAAAAACATAAAAACTATATTATATATATATATATACATATCCGACGAGACAGCTGTTTTTTTAAGAAATTTTATATGGAAACCAAACTGTCTTTAAAATTACGTCATAATAAGCGGTTGTCAATATGTCCGGCGTCATACTAATCGGATTCTACTGTATATATATATATATATATATATATATATATGTAATATGTATATATATATATATATATATATATATATATATATATACATAAACTATATAAGTAGTATATTAATGCTGGCCATTTTCTATCATTTTTCAAGTAGGTATACTTACCAGTTTATAAACAATACAAAACATTAAATAATATACGCAATTTCCATTGATCATTCATTTATCAGTAATCATTCGCACGTTTTAGAAAAATTAATATCCGTATTAAATATAAATGATTTAATATTTATTTTGGTTATAAAGAATATACAGAAATCGTATACACAAGTACTCTCACCAACAATATAAAACATTATATTCATAACATAGTAAAAAGCAAATAAAAAAATGAAATTAGTAATATTAAAAAAATAAATTGTAGATATCACCATTGTTAAATATGACTAATCACAGTTTTAGAATTTACATAAAATTTATAAATTATAATAAAAATATCGACAATTATATTTCAATACCAACATTATCATCACAAAAAATATAATACGACTTATAGCCCTAAAAATTTATATAAAAACTATTTATTATTCGCAAATAATAAATTAGTCGTATTAAGGGCTTACAAATATATCACTCCAGTAGTTATCAGTCATATATAATCGTCGGTAAATTTTGCAAATATTTAAATAAATATATAAGTTTTATAAAATATTAAAATAATTATGAATATACATGCTAAAAAGTATATAAATTTCTTGTTATACAATGCTTAAATTTAAATAAATCACAACTCACATATCAGTACAAACTTTATCACATTCAAAGGAATATATAATATTTCCTTACTAAGCAATCTTATAGAAAAAGCTGATCAACATTTTGCTAATGCAATTTGATGAGATAATTGAAGTTTATTATAATTCATAATTATAATAAAAAATTACCTGATTTTAAGAACATATTTTTTATAATTTATAATTCATATATTAAAATTCGGTACTGAGTACTTTTAATATGCAGATCGTATGATGAACATATACAGGTATGTATAGATTTTTCTTTGATTTGATATTTTTATAATATGCTAATGCAATTTAGAATTAACTTCTAATTCATATTTAAAAGTCCTGCTTTTGACAAAAAATTGCAAATTTAAGCAAAATGTTTATCAGTTTTTGCTTCCGACTGAAAACTTTCAGTATTAACCTTCATATCAAAAAGTTCTGGAGGTAAATCTTGGTACGTATTATGTACATTACTGTAAATCTGCTTTTTTATAAACTAGTAGCTATATATAAATATTAAAAAAGTATGCATTTCAAAATTTCATGTGTTTTAAACAATTCCTTTATCCCCCACTTGTAGCTCGTTTTCTGTATGTACATTTAGTATAAAAATAAAATCAGAGTATATCAAGATTATTAATAAGATTATTAGGATATGTGATATCTATATCTAAATATGTACAAAGTTACACTATATTTAATTAACAATTTATATATTTCTACACCTTGCCAATCCTAATAAAAATCTAGCATTATATTTTAATATATGTGTGTTGCTTCGTAGTATTTATTTCACAAAATAAATATACAAAAATATTAAAAAATCTTAAGATTTGCATTTTTACTGACGTTAGTTGAAATCTCATGGCAATCGCTAATACTGAGTTCACAATTTAGAACGAAGTTCACATTTATAAAAATACTTCAATCCCAAAAGCAAACTTAGTAAATGATTCATTGAATTATTTCTGATGATCACAAATGATTTCATCGATCACAAAATGCTTCTGACAAAGACTAATAGAAATAAATAATCTAATAGATGCACATTTCTTTTTAAATATATTAATAATTTTTAAAATGACTATTCATTTTCAACATGAGATCATATTATTTCGTAAATCTAAATTTTTTATCACCTGGTTTAAGCTTCAATATTAAGACTTTATCATATAATTTTCAAGAAAAGTAAAAAAGTGCAACTATCACTGTCCTAAATCAAAATAGGTATTGTTGCATATATTAAATAAAAACATGCATTATATATTACTAAAAAAATCACTTCAAACAATAACTCGTTTCAATAAAAAAACAGCCTTAACAACTATCAAGTATATTGTGATATATATTGTAAATAATTGTTGAATTTTATCTATAACGATTCTATGAAGAATCAAAATTATGATAAAATAGTAATGAGTCAAATAAAAATGTTTGTAAATTGTTAAATCTAACAGGCTACAATTTCTAATAAATATACATCACATGTTAACATGAAACTAAAAAATATGCATTTTCAATCATGTTTTGAGTCTACATGTTTATTTTTTTTTTTTTTCAGAATAATAATCATAACTTAAAGTTGATCAACTTTCAAAAAATAAAATTAAACATCAATCGTAACATGACATTTAATTGAAAAATCATTTTATTAAAATTGGTTCAAATTAAAAGTAGGTTTAACCGTTTGATTATAGATCGCAAAATGGCCGCTTTGCTATTGCTTCATTTTTAATTTCTACCGCACTCCATGGAGGCGCCACTTACTGTAGCACGTAAATTTACCAATATGTTTAATTCTAGATAAACCTGATTAATTTGTATAAATGAAATCAGATCAAAATATATGCGTATAAAATAAATTTTCAACTCAAATACGTTTTCACAAAAATATATAATAAAAAAAATTAAAGCTTCCATACATTATGCTACTGAATCATACTGAATACTGTCAAAATGCCATGCATTTGCTGTGCATTCAGGCGTTTCACACCTGAACTGCAACGTCACTTGTATGTTATAAAGCTGGGTCAAAAAGACCTTGTTGTCTAAGATCGTTTTTTGACATTTGTGCGGTTTCTAGGTTAGATTTTGAATCTGACAACCTGCGAAAAACGCCTGACTGCACTGCAACGACATGGCTTTTGTCCATATTTAGTATAAAAAGTTCTTCACAACATAGCCTTGCCACAACATTGGTCTGTTGTGTTGGACGTATATAATAATAAGAAAATCAGTTCTTGAATAAGAGTGATGAATATCCTTACAGTAGACCCTCTGTTGAGTGCGAAAACAACAAAAATTTGCAATCAAACGGTTAAAGTATTATTGTTCACAAATATAAAAAAACAATTTATTGTCACATTGACTATATTCAACTTCTTACTGAACAAAATACCCACAAATATTAACAGAACAACAAATGAATAATATCTAATATTAACAGTCAATTAATAAAAAAATTTAAAAAAAGCTCTTTGTTAAAATTTAGAAGTTATGGGTAAATCGATTCACCGAAGAAAGTGAATATATATATTAGAAATCGGTATAGATATATACATCTTTGTGTATTATTCTTCTAATATAATGAATAAAATGACTAAAAAATTCAATCATATAATAGTACATGCCAAATCAATGTTTTTAAAAAGTCTCAAAATTTTCAAACTGTTTGAAGAAAGTTGAGATAAGGATTGAGTAGGTTTTGTTTATGTTTCATGTAGAACATATATAAAAGTCGTTGCTCAAATATAAGCACTTATGTTACATCTATGAAATACGAATAATAAAATTTGTAGTATATTGTTAATCATTTGAACATATTTGAAACAATTTATATTAATTATTGATAAATTTTTAATAGATCATATAGTCGACTATTTAATTAAGGTATGGGAAGTACCAGAAATTTGCTCTAAAGACACAATTCCATGCACCACTAATTATCATATGATTGTAATTTTTTAGTCATCTTTTCCGTATCTCAGAAGTATAGTGTGGATCTATAAATTCCCACACATGTCTTATCTGTTCTGGTGTGTACGCATATGGAGTACCAAATTATGTTTGTGCTTCGATTTTTTATGGCAAATCGGGCATTCGAATTTCGGTTCGACTCCACATTCGAACCTCAAATGCCGGTTAAGACTATGTGGTCTGGCGTATGCATTACCGCAACGGCGGCAGGTAAATGCACCTCCCGGAACAACGACCGTCTGCTGGGAGGTCGAAGGTTGGGACAAAAGTCCGGTGCCGGAAGAAGGTGAACGGAACACACCTGATGATTGCCCTTGAGATTGGGCACTTGATAGAAAAACTCGCAAGTCGCATGGCTTTTCTTCATCGTCGTCGGGATTTTCGTCGGATAAATCGTCAACTTCAGTTTTCGGGAAGACATCTGCAAAAAAAATGAAGCGGAGTGGTTAGTATAAGGAATTTGGAAATATGTTGATAATATAAGTTTTATATGACATTATTCGTGGTATGATGCTAAAATATCTTTATAATTAACAGTATTTACCTAAAACATAAATGCTTGATAGTTTTTTTTAACAAATATGTAACATAAAAGCGATGTATGTTAGTTGCACCGCGCAAAAAAAAAATTAGGCTAGGTTTGAATATGTAAAAATATTATATATTGTCCTTATATATAATTTCATTAAGTTTCATATTTTTGTTAAACCTCTATTTATATATACATATTAGCAATCCGATTGGTATTAAATTTTGTTTGTGTATGTTGTTTTTTTATTTTTTTTTACTAAAAGAAAATTGAGTAACAGGTGTAATGCAATATCGATTAAAATTATTTATTGATATTATATACAATAGTAACAAATAAAGCAAATGAATATACCTTGATATGAAAATTTATTTATATGTTCTTGTATATTCTATGTTGTGTATAAGTACATTATTATTTCTAATATTGTTATTTTGTTATATTTATTATTATCTGTTACTTATTGTTTTTATTCCAATTTATTGTTTTTAGTATTTTTATTATTCAGAAATTTTATTTATTTTATTTATTATTATTATTATTATTTGCTTTTATTTTATATTAAATCATCATACTGCGTATATCATTTCAATGGAAATACTATCCTTTATTCTGTACTCTTTTTTATTTGAATTTATGTTATTGTTCATTATTATTATTAGATGTTGAATTATTTAGCAGTTGTAACAAATATTGTAATTAAATAAAAAAATATATTATGCTATATTGTATTTTACTTATGTTATATGTATAATAATTGTATTTTTAAGTGCTATTATTAATTGTATTTTTAAGTGCTACTATTCTGTGGACTATGTGTTTAAAAAAATAAAAAATAAACAACAAATATTCCATTAAAAATTCTCTCATATGTAAAGAAAATAAAAAATTAACCTCATCAAAAAGAATAAACATTTTTTAGTAATTTTAGACATTTTGACTATATTTGGTCTCCCAAGAAACTCGTATTAAGCACGTTATCTGGATCTTTGATATTTATAGATATAAGTATCAATAAAATTTGTTTTAAAATAACTTATGAATAAACGTAGAATCTAAGGGCCACATAAAAATTCACACAAGATTTTTACTATATCAATTTCGAATTTGAAAAATCCTGAATGAAATTTTAGTTTATTAATATTATATACGACGATGAATAGATTTCTTAATAGAAATATGTGTATATACATTAAGTTGTATAATATAATTGTATACATACATGCAAGTATTCTTGGTCAAATCAGGCTCTCCAAAATCACAAATGCAAAGCGTTTGATACCAAATATCGCCAAAAGCTTAATAATGTTAAATGCTATATTTGAATATCAAGCAGGACAATCACTAACATAACATGCATCACTTATTATTAACAATTTTATAAATATTATTATAACACATTAAATATATATATACGTTTAATATTTTCCAAAGAAAATCAATGTCAAAATATTATAAATTTTAAAATATTTTATAAAACAAAAAATCATATAATAAGATTAGTGAGTAGTGCTGTCTACTCATATAATCATATAATCAGATTAGTGAGTAGTGCTGCATATAATAAGATTAGTGAGTAGTGAGTAGTGCGGACAGATCCTAGACAACTCATTAAAATATGATTATATTTATTTATATTTCTAGATTTCTTTATAATATTTTATCTAGAACATTTTCTATATAAGGGTAATAAAATACACATTATCAATAATAGTCGAAGATATCAAAGAATTGTTTGAAATAACAACACAAAATCTTTACTCGACAAAGTTTTAAAACAAACGTGATTATAATAAAAAGAGTGAAACATTTTTTTTATTATTTTATTGACCTTATGAAACAAAATTTAATTTGGAAACAAATAAAGGCTCTCTAATACTTATTTTTATGTAATGTAATTATTAATTTTGTCATACAATTAACAAAATATTTTTTACATGGAAATATACCAACTATATAATAGTTTATTTTTATTTACAATTATATAACATTTTAAGCCTCATATAAAATATTTTATGCCAGCCTAAAATATTGTATAATATTATATTTATAATTTTTACAGCAAATAAATATAAATGTAGTCCATAAAGGAACCACATTTATTATACTTAATATATTATAATCAGTTACACGTTTATTCTATCAATTAATAATACTGTAAAATCTATTATATATCAAATATATAATAACAATAAATATAAGCTCTACTTTATTAAATCTTAAGATAAATATATTAAATAATTTATTCCCAATAAAAAATAAATTAAATAATTTTCATCAGATATGAAAATTCTAGATGATGAAAAAACACAACACTTAAAGAAAGTTGTTTTGAAAAATAAACATATACATAGTCAAATTTAAATTTGATAACAAAAAAACTAATAAAAAATATATTAATCTATAACAATATTTGAATCTAGCTTCACATTTCGCGAAAAAATATGTAATTTTAGCGAAAAAACTAGTGGTGTATGGCATCGTGTCTTAAGGCAAATTACTGTAACTTCTCGTACCAAAAATTAAATAAAAAAAAATTAAATATGTTTTAAACTTTGAAAAATTTAGATTTTTGAGAAATTTTAAATTTTTGAAAAAAAATTGCATTTCTGGAAAAAAACTTGTTTTTTTAGTTTGAATTATTTTGGGAATTTTAAACTTTTTTCTAAGCAATCGCAGTGCTTTAGCTGCATAGAGACGCAATATAGAAGCGCGTAGGCGCCGCATCGCCGTCTAACGGACAATCGATGTTACTAAACCCATAGAAATGTAAACAAAATTAATACAGATTATTAAAATCTCCATAAAATATCTGATAATTTGAAGGGCATATGTCAAATGATCATTTTTAAACACAAAATAGCATTTTTTGAAAAAAACATACACACACACACACACACACATATATACAACAATTTTTTTCTAAGGTATGTCAAAATGTTCAGAAATCTGTGAAATGTAAAGATATATACAAATTTTCATTTTCGATTGCGATTACTATAACTTGCCCCACATGAAGTTAATAAAATTGCAAATTCAAACAGTAATGACACTAAAATAATTTTAAAAGATTTATAAAGAATCTAATTAGATTTTATGCTTAATATATCTTTAAAATGTCTTAAGTTAACAGATGTACAAGTGGATAATTAAATATTTTTAGATAAATTTTGTCTAAAATTAATTATTGCAGAACATTCAAATTTTCATGCACATTATGTTCTTAAAAAGTTTAAAAGTTTTAAGTAAACAAATTCGGAATTAGGTCATCCCCAGAATATCGACGTGATGACAACAGTTTTTTTATTCTGATGATATTTTTTAATATAATTTATTAGCAATATGATTAAGAATGTCTTTAATTTTTCTAGAAGAAAAACTGCTTTATTTATCTCTATTATTAAAATGGAAGATTTGCGGGCCAGAATGAATAACCTTGACCAGGATGTTTACGTTCCATGTGAGTTTTTAGATGATGTTTATGCCTAAAAGTTGCAGTATTGCAATATGAACATTTGAACATCCTCTGAATTCCACATTCATATTTCAAATGCCTAAGCAAAGATGTCTTATTAACATATGAATTTCCGCAGCGTTGACAACAAAATTCTCTTCCAGGTGCTACATTTGATCCAATCCCAGCAAAATAATCTGAAAATAGAAATTTATTTAATGAGATAATTAAAGGATTGAATTAAAATAGGAATCTCTATAAAAAGATTCTACTTTTTGATGTGCAAATTCAAATAAAGTATTAATTTTGACGTTGTGAGATTGCTAAGTTTTGAAATCGGTCTAATAATTATTTGTAGATATGCAGCAAATTTTTATACCTTAGGTCTAACTTATAATTTATAAAATCGAGTAAAGATATTGTGATATTATTACTATACTATTTTTTGTCAAACATCATTTAAATCCATTTTTATGTTCTATCATGTTTATAATTAAGTTAGTTATTACAAACTTATTGTTTATAAATATAAGCCTTTTAGTGACGTGCCTTTCA